TGGCCGAGGCCCTGCTCGAGTTGTTTGCAGGCCCTCAGACCCCCGCCCGCAGTAAATGTGTTTTCTTCATCCCCGTGGCTGGAGAAAAAGATAAATTTAGCAACCCCCGCCGTCCCCTGCTTTCGCTTAGGAAAAAAAATCTTTGAAATAAAATGAAAATAGGCTTGCCAGTCTAAATGGGTATGTGGGCAAGAGGAGGGGGAGAAGGGTGATCCTAGAACAACTACCAAACCGTTTATTTTTTTTTAATAAGCATTCAGTCAAAGAGCCTAACAGATTTTATTAGTTTGCAGGGGTAAAAGTGAGGAAAAGGGTTACGTTTTGAAACCGGTTTCGCACACTGCAATGAACAGGAATTTTTAATGTATATTTTCTACATGTGTGTTTCAGAGTTGGTTTCAGTGTTTGAGAGCCTGTGAAATGGAAATCTTGGGGAATTGTTACAAAAATAATCCATTTTTCAAATACAGCGAGGTAGCAGAATTAGGTATAGATTTTTTTCAAAGTACTTAAGACTCTTAAAGTTTAAAAAGACTTAGGAGCGGAGGGAAGATATGTATTTGGTTAAAGCATTTATCAATTCCAAAAATGTGTATTTTCCGTTTTCATTAGTTTAAATTTTTATGCTCTTTCCATACTGAGCTTGGGACTCAAACTATTTAAAAGTTACTATAAATATTAAATAGTGTGGTCTTTAATCAGGAATCTGACGTGCTTTATTCAGTTCACTAAATGTTAGATAAAGATATTTTTCACAGTACAGAACACAAAAGTTATACAGCCAAAAGCATACTGGTGTGAAATCTCTAAGTACTGAAGCCATATATTTTAGTTTCCTGTCATAACTTTTTTAAAACTCCCAGAATGCAAATTGTCCTTTCCCTCAGACATCTTATTAAACCAAAGGTACGGTAAGAAGAAATCTCTGAGATTGCACCGGATGGTAATTTTCCTCTAAAGGATTCAGCTTTGATTTTTTTCAAGCAATTAAATTTCCTTTCAAAAATGATATAGACAATATGTCTTCATCATTTATAGAAAACCCCACTGGTCTATGATATAGACTGTATTCACAGAAAGGTAAATAAAACATTTTTTTCAAATAAGGAAAAAAATACCTTGTATACTCACACTAATATAATTTCAAAAAATTTAGCCTTTAAGTACTTTCCAAGGGCCTCTATTTAATGCTATGGTATGTCAAGAATGGGGTATCATCGTCCATGCAACTGTAAGCAGTATGAACACAAAAACCTAATGCCAGCATTCTTATTAGTTCTTCCATAATTACCATCAAATACTTCTAAGCCCACCAATATAAAGCACTTAAGAAAAAAGTGCCAAGGAGCATAAATGAAAAAGAGGTTTCCTCAAAAGACCAGAAGTAGTTTAGGTATTAATATTTTTAAAGAGCCTTTTGCCATTACTTTTCATACATAGACTGTTAACTTTGATGGGAAACAAGAAAAGATGGTCTACTATGAATTATATTAGATAAACCTTTATTGAAGTCCAATGAAGATTATAGATGATTGTAGAGATGAAGTCAACTATACTTTTTTTTTTTTTTTGAGTTTTCAAAAAAGGGAAAGCAACTTCTATTTCAAATTCATCTATGGAAAGCTGTAAAGAACACTGTATAATAAGTTATTTTACTAGAAGTGCCCTTAATATAAAATACTCATGATAAAGTGAAGGCACTAAAGAAGTGTGAACAGCAGAGATCAGAAATCAGTATTATAAAATACTAAATATAGGTAATGAAAATATTCACAATAGGACCTTGGGGACACCTGAGATCACTGAAAGCATTTGGTAATCAAGCACTAGGTGATTAACCTGACACCTTGAACTTAAAGGACCTACTATACCCTATCTTGCATTGATACTTTTGTTCATCGTTTTAGTATTAGGGACCTATAGAATACTGGGCATGGGTAATAAAAAGATGTAGGGTTTGCCCTTGGGGAACTCCGAATAAGGAGATTGCCTGCAGCAGAATAAAAACATTCTTAAGTGCTTTCATTTTCTCAAATAAACACAATAAAGGGAAATTTGATTTAGGGAGATTGAGAGCAGAACATTTCAAAGGCATATGCTGTGAATAAAAAATAGATAGTTTCAAAGCACTCAAAGGAATTTTGGTTATGTGCTAAAATTTGTTTGTTCCTTAGGAGCTGTTAATGTATATCAGATAGATAAAGCATCTACTCAAGGTTTTGACAGTGTTTTAATAACTTAACTAAAAATCCCTGACATGTTTATAGGTCCTTGAGCCAGAAATAATACAAGGCCTTTCAATCATTTTTCCAGAGAAAGAGTCAGAAAAGAAGCTGTTAAAAAACAAGAGAAAACACTGTTGATTTTCACTCCACATCACTGATAGAAATCCAAATAAAAGACAATAAATTATTGGCTCATGAGAAAATATAGACCTTCTCGAATAGAGTTGTGGTAATTGATTCTTTTATATCCCAAAGGTTAAAAATATTTACTTTCCCCTAGAAAGGCCCTGGTTTTATTGAACTAAGCACACCCCATAAAAATTAACCGTTTATCTAATACTTGATACTTAAATTATCTTATATGTACTTATCTTAAGATGAGCAAGTTGCATCATGTTGGAATTCAGCTGACTATAATTAATGCCAAGTACGAATTTTTCATCTGAGTTTTTAAGCCACACACCCTCCCCAAGAGAAATAATTTTAAAATAAACAATGACTGACAATTAGGTGATTTTCGAACTATTTTTCACACAAGTCATTGGTTGAACAAGACTTTAATTCCTGAAAATCACCAACAGCCAAATTCTACCTCATGGATTATAAATCACAGGACACAGCAAACAAACGCTCCACTAAAGAGGTGAAAATCAATATGGCCTAGAAACAATGACCAGTAATAATGAGCACCCTGGGTGCCCAAATCAGGACCTCTACGTACAGTTCTCCACTAGAGGAACCAAGGTTCTGGGAGAATTGACTGATTCCTGGGCTGGAGCAGAAAAATACAAGATGAACCTGGAATATCTCCTCATAACAAATAGGAAGAAAAAACATCAAAGCTTACGAGGGGTGTGTCAAAAGTTCTCAAGAGCCAATTTAAATAGGTTCCAATTGGCTAAAGATGAAAAAATTTGAATGTCAAAAGAATAATTACTATGGATTGAAGCGCATCAAATAGGTTGGTGAGTTTATAATGGGATTTTCCTAAATGATCAACTAGTGGTGATGGTTGCACAACTTAGTGAATAGACTAGAAACTAGCGAATTAGGCACTTTAAAATGGTAGAATTTATTGAATTATATCTTATTATATTGAATTATATCTTAATTTTTTTTAAATGATAACTTTTAGAGAATACTAGAGAACCAATTCGTTATTTTGAAAACTAGTAAAGGAAAAGATCAGGCACTTATCCTATATGAACTGTTCCTCAGGCTAAACAAATAGTTGATTAAGGGAGTTTTCTTTTAATAAAATTATTTCAACTAATATATGAAGAAGGCTTGATAGAATTAGAATAGCACCATTTTGCAACCCCTACTGAATCAATGGATCTCGGCAATGATCATCAATGGCTCCTAAGCCTCGTTACAGAAGTACACAACGCCACTAGCCAAAAAAAATCAAACCTGAACATGATCAACCCTTTCACTCTGCCAATTTACAGGAAACACAGGGACAGAGAAGCATATCAGTGAAACCACAGGGATGCAATCTATGGGACCTGCTTCCTTCAACAAATAAATTATGAGAAAAAAAATTGGAGGGGAAATCAATAGATGAGAAAAGAGTTAAAAGACATTTTAATCAATTGCAGTATATGAACTTTATTTCAATCTTGATTCAAACAAGTATAAAAAATAATGATAAAATTGAAAAACGTCAACTCTGACTAGATTGTTGTCAATACTGACAAGATATATATTGATATAAATAAATTATTATTAATTAGGTTTAGGTGTAATGATGGTGTGATTATATCTTAGAGTCCTTACCTTTTATCTTGTAGAGATACATTATTAAACTATTTACAAACAAAATGATATACTATCAGAGATGACCTTCGAAATAATATTGGAAAGTGAAGGCAGAACAGGGGTCGA